GCACATTGAAAAAATTTGAATGCATCTGTCACTTGTGGCTTATGTTTAATCATTTCTTTTTCTTATTTTTGTGTAATTGTTTGCAAAGTAGTATTTATATATATGTATATATTTATATACATATATATGTGTATCATTTTGTTTAGTTTATTGGCGGTCTCTGTTTGAATATATAATATATATATATATAAGAGTCAAAAAAGTTGTAATTGGTATGTTTATGAATGCTTGCATTTTAGGCTCTCTTTTTGTTTGTTGTCTGTTTATCAGAATATTTGTATATGTAGATGCCTTAAGACTTTGAAAAAAATATGAATAACTGCATCATCACTAATCAACACACACACACACACGCGAACACATATAAGCGCATGCAGCAGCACACATACACACACGCACACACACACCTTTAGTAATGCTTGTAGATATTTTGTTGTTTGGCTTTTAATCTCAAAATCAAACGGATACGATGATATATATATATATAGGACATATAGTATAGTATGCATATACATAGGTGTGTGTATATAGATATATACGAATAAGTATGTATTGATAGTTGATTGGTTGAGTGTTGACTGATTTTCGACGCCGTCAAGAGTTACAAATAATAATWATAATAATAATGCGATATTTATTATTGTTGTTTACTTCGGTTAATAACTACTCTAGACTGTATATAAAATCAAATCCGCATTTGACATTTTGCCCCTTTCATCTTCATCTTCATCTTGCTGTTGATGTTGTTGCGTGTTTTTTTTTTTGTTGTTGCTAAAGCAATATCTGCTGGTTGTTGTTGTTGTTTCTCTATTTGCGTTGCGTTGCTGTTGCCGGATTCCCCATGCTATCTGATTCCAGTAGTTGTTATTCTTGTAAAAAGGTGTGTGCTTGTGTTTGTGTGTGTGTATGTGTGTTTCCTTGTGTTTGTATAGAATTTTGTTATTTGCTCTTTTAGAGCAAAAGGCATTTGGGCTTCTTCCGTTTTTTAACTTGCAGTGCAGCCCTGGTTGCTGTCTCGAATACCTCTCGCACACCCTCCTTGGACTTGGCCGAACATTCCAAATAGGCAAAGGCATTAATTTTCTCAGCCATGGCGCGTCCCTCCTGCGGCTTAACCGGCTCTTGCTTCATCTTTGCCAAATCCTGCGAAAGTTTCGAAAAAAGTTATTAGACTTTCATATCCAAGACTTGATTTAACTCATCTAAATATCTCACCCGAATTGTGTTGGGATCATTTCGCAAATCTTTCTTATTGCCTACCAAAATGATTGGAACATTGGGACAAAAATGTTTGACCTGAAATAAACAAATGATTATTAATAACATTTATATACATGTATTTATATTATTGAATTTCTATTTACCTCTGGCGTCCATTTTTCGGGAATATTTTCTAGCGAATCGGGTGAATCCACTGAGAAACACATAAGTATAACATCAGTGTCTGGATAACTCAGCGGTCGCAGTCTGTCGTAATCTTCCTGACCAGCTGTATCCCATAAGGCCAACTCCACCTATATGGCAAATAGAGAAGAATCACGTCATATATTGATGTAAATATATATTTATGTAGAAATGTATGTATGTATAAATGTAGAGTGATAACGCCCGTTAAGTTGGCAATTATGTAGCACAAAAGCCCGTTTCCATCACAAAGACGAAAGACGAAGACGAGAGTCAACTTCAAGTTGAAAGATAGCAAGGAACTGGCGGAAATGCCAAACGTATTAATCAGACACAATACGTAGAGTGACGTGAACGACAGACACAGACGGCTGTATGTATGTTTGTAGGTCTATACATATGTATGTTTATACATCATATGTAAGCATTAACCAAACACAAACGCCGCCATATTGTGCTGCGCAAATTGTTTATACCAAAACAACAAAAAATATAATACAAGAAGAAAAAAATCGTATAAAATTATTAGAAATGAAATTGTTTAACAAATAACCAAAAACAAATACACAAAACATGACTTAATGCAAATCAAAATGGCATACAGCAGTATATCTTTTCTTTTTCTTTTTTTTATATATATTTTTATTACAATTGAGAGCGAGAGCGCGTGCTACTGGCTCCAAACGTGAGCGCAGGTATGCAATGTCTGAGTGCGCGGGGGGCGAACGTGAGAGCGCGAGGGGCAACGCGCAAAACTGTATGTGCGCAACGGGCTTGTGTATAAGACGAATAAAATAAATACAAAAAAAAAGAGCACAAGCAAGAAACGGAAGGAAGGGAGCTTGCTATACAAGTACATGTTTTAGTATTAGTACGCGTGTAAGTGTGAGTGCGTGCGTTTACGTCGTCGATGTGGGTACGTGTGTGTGTGTGTCGTTATGTGTGCAAGGAGAGTGCGAGCAGGAGAGCTGGAGAGCGGGAGTCAAGTATGCCTACCGACAATTGATATTGACTCACAACTTTTTTTACAACATGAGCGCAGAGTGCACTGGAAATCGAGCAGGATGGGGGGAACGTAACGGGATGCTAGATGAGCGCATATGTACAAATGTGAGTATGTATGAAAAACAAATAAAATAAAAATGTACACAAAGACCGATGATCAGATGATTTTGAATGCTGCGTGTGTTGGGCGGGGCGGCGCGTTTCGGGGTGTGAATGAAAAGGTGATAAACTTGGGCTTACCTGCTTGCCGTCGACTTCGATATCGGCGACATAATTCTCAAAGACAGTCGGCACATAGACCTCGGGAAATTGGTCTTTGCTAAAGACGATCAGAAGGCAAGTTTTACCGCAGGCACCATCGCCGACAATTACCAATTTCTTGCGAATCGTCGTCATTGGAGGTTCTGGAAGTGGCAGAGTGGATGCAACGACACCGACAGCGGCGACGACGGACGATGCGTTGTGTTAAGTATATTTGCGAAAATTGCGCGAGCTCGTTGAAAAATATCAAAGTGAAAAAGCCATACACACACACACACATACACATACGCGTATATTAACACTCTCGCGCGCAGCAATGCCACAATCTCTCACAAACACACGCACACACATTTGAGTCATACATTTTGAATGGCTCTCCCATTTGTTGTTGCTGCTGCTGACGATCTATGGAAAAGAAGAAGCATCAGCGAACAGCCGCATGAGGCTTCTTTTTTTCTTTTTTTTGACAATCACCCGTTGTTGGTGGTGGGGGATTCTTTTACGCCAGTTAGGTTCGTGTGGTGGAAAGTCAGAATGCAATGTTTGGGCCGTTGTTTAATCGCTTCCAATTGTGCAGCTATTTATGCATACATACACATACGCATAGATTTATTTATATAAATGAAAGCCCGTGTCTTTACGTGTATTGGTATTCGTATTGGCCGAATCACCACTGCTCCCATTTAGACAAATATATTTATTTACTTTTCTTCAGTTCTACACGAATGTGTCTCGAGATAGTCCACTGGTCGCGTCATAGGTCTTCTCACCCTCACCCGCCACCAACTCTTCGTACGTTTATTCCAAAAACATCATCATCCATTCGCATTTATGTACATACATACACATACATATGTTGTCTGTGAGTTCGATTGCATGGCTGTATGTGTGTTTGTCTGTGCGCGTAGAGCTCTATATGTATGAGTGCGTGTGTGGAATTTTTTCACTGCTCTTTCAACTTTCCTCACTTACAATATATATTTTTCTTTTTTGCAACACTCGGTTCGAATGGGGCACTTTATTTGTAATGCTTACAAAATGGCACAAATATGTTGATTCTTATGCGTCTACCGTTGCTCGTTTCGTATAAAAGTTATTACAATTAAAAATTCGACGTTTTTTTTCTCATGCAAAATGACGATGAATTTTCTTGGTAGATGAACAACCAACGCCTTCGTGCGCCCCAGAGTTGCACATGAACTATAGTGTTGGAAAATATCATTAAACCGATTACCTGATCTGGGTATGCAAAATAACCACATCCTGTTCTGTTTTGCCATTTTTTCCCCCAAATATGATATAGAAAGTTACATTAATAGCTTAATAAACATTTATATTATATATCTTATCAATCAGATGAATAAGTCAGAGTTGCTTTGAAAAGATTATTGACTTAGTGACACATTAATTCGTTACATGCCGTTACTGTTACATTTATCGCAATACCATCACTAATCTGTTCCTGCCTCTTAATTTTGAAGACACATGGCCCGGCATAAATAGTTAGCTGGTTGTTTTCTGTCAAATGATCAAAATGACAATCAAACGTCATGAGAGAGTACGGACAGAAATTCAGTCCAGTTTTAAGCTTACTGAAAATCGCATAGCTAAATCACAAGCTCCGCTAGTTACAACAAATATCTGGAAAATAATTAATTACAAACCAAAAGTTGCTATTTGTAATCCACCGAGAACCGAGAAAAAATCAACGGAAACTCAAAAGGCGCCAAATACAATATCTAATCCAAAAATGTCGGAGAAAAACTTCAATGAAAAATTAAACTCTACTGCAAATTTGGACAATAAGATGGAAATGGTTGCTATTGCAAAGGCAATGAAACGTAAAACTCAGAATGTTCCAGTAAATGCAATTAATAAACGGGCTAAACTGGAAATAGGATCCACTCAAAAGGGTCAATTGAAGACTGCAATTAATAGGAAACAAAAATCATCTTATGCCATAAAAAAGTCAAAGAAAATTGGTAATAAAAACGTGACTGCTAAAAAGAATACAAATTCAATAAAAATAAAGTGCGAGAGCGCTGAATCGTCGGACGAGGAGAAAGCAGAGTCTGAATCGGAGTCTGATGCTGAATTGTTGGACGAGGAGGAATCACAATCTGAATCGGAGGAGGAATCAGAGTTGATTGATACTGAATCGATGGACAAGGAAGAATCTGAATCGATGGGCAAGGAAGAATCTGAATCGGAGTCTGACGCTGAATCGATGGAAGAGGACGAATCAGAGTCTAAATGTGATGAATCCGAGTCTGATGGGGAATCGTTATACAACGAGATATTAGAATCCAAATTGGAGTTTGAACGTAAATCGATGGACGAGGAGGAGTCCGAGTCTGATGCTGAATCGATGGTCGAACAGAAATCAGAATCCAAATCGGAGTCTGACGCTGAATCGATGGACGAGGAGGAAGCAACGTCTGAACTAGATTCCGATTCTGATTATTCATGGGATAGTGACAAGAATTTCTTTTTGCAGCCAGGAATAATTAAAGCAAAGCTACTTAAACCAATTAAAATAGATTTCGATATCAATGTGAAGAAGGTCGATGAGCCACTGTGTATAACTGAAGCGCCGCTGGTTGACGTAGACCTTACTAAAGTTTCGGTGTTCGACGGAATGATGGGTAAAGCAGAGCCCGAAACTCAAAACGTTTCTGCGGAGACTGTTAAAGATGAAGCTTTAAGCGAATCTAATGACGAGGCTGAAGGTGAGGAGCCGGTTGAAATGAGTGAAAATTCAGTAAATAATGATGAAGAAGACATAGACATGCAGCTTCTGCCAATGTATGAAGGACGTATAACATCTCCATGGCACAATATACCTGAATTTACAGACGATTGGTGTGTTTTTGAGAATAGTTTCAAGACCAACAATGTGCTGGCTGTGGTGAAACAGGACATCGAGCTTTATGGCACCGTTACACTGACCTTGCTGTCTGGACGCATTATAATCAATGGCTATAAGCCGCGCCGCGATGTTCCGTTGACCATCTATTCACCCAAAGGCTTTAACTGGGTGGCTATTTCACCCATGTCGAACATGAAACCAATCAAATCAAAATTGGAATCAAATTCGAGCTGGAAAGACCTGGAAGACAGCTTCACACGCGCTCAACTAGATCATGTTAAAGGAAGCTATGATGAGTATCGCGATGCAATTGTGCTGATGCAGCGTAACAGCGGGGCACAAAATATGCTCCACATCATTGGCAAACACATGGTGGAGAAGGTTTTCCCTATGGTGAATACCTCCAATCGTCCGTATGCTTCCAGTGAGTATATCTTAAACTGCTTAATCCAGAGCGCCGATGCAAAGCAAACGCTGCGTGTGACCCACAAGTGGATGAAGCTGAAGCTGCAGCCACGCAGTCGCTGGATGGTGGCTGGGGGCAAAGGTGTGGGTAAATCCACGTTGCTTCGCTTTTTGCTGAACAGGCATTTGAGCCGCTTCGAACGCATTCTATTCATTGACCTGGACATTGGACAGCCCGAATTTTTTTTGCCACAGACGATTTCATGCTTTGTCATCGATCGCCCGCTGCTGGGAGCTGGTTTCTTTTTCAATAAACAGCCGGAACGAGCCTATGCAGTGGGTCATGTGAATGTGGTGATGTGCGCGGAGCAGTACATCCGAGCGGTGCGAGAGTTGCTGTTTCAATGCAAGGTGAACCCGAGCTATGATGAAATGCCGTGGCTCATCAATACGATGGGTTACAACAAAGGCTTCGGTCGGGAGCTAATGGCTCTATTGATCGACTGTGTTCAGCCAACCGATTTGATACAAATATCCAGTCCTAAGGCCATAAACAATTTTGAGATAACGCTCAATCCCAAATCCCTCGCCAAGGTGCGCCCCATTATTTATACAGCTGATGAGTTTAAGGTCAATGCAAAAGCCTTCAGCTACAAATTGCATCAGTTAGAAAGCGTATTGCCGCTGCTGGAGCCGGAGCATCACTGGAGGATGAGCCCCAAGGATGTGCGCTACGCCAATTTGTTGGCGCGTCTCAGCAGTGCGTTGAATGGTAATGCGAAGTACCTGACCGATTGTCAGCCAGTTAGCGTGGATCTGGATGCAGTGAAGCTTGTGCATCTCGTGTCCAAGGATTACGTACGTGAGGAGCTTATAGCTGGCATGGAGGCCAATCTGGTTTATCTGTGCAAGGGTCGGCTGGATGACGATCCAAAAGAGTGTCTAGGCTTAGGTAAGTCCTCGCTATAACTTATCAATATTTATTAAATGTCTTGCTCTTCTTGCAGGTGTAGTGCGTGCCATTGATTATGAGGAGAAGAAGCTGTATCTAGTCCCAGCCATGCCTATGGAACGTCTCTCGCAGGTCAACTGTTTGGTATTAGGCACCGACATGTGCCTGCCGCAAGGATTCTTCAAGGATCAAGGTGCCGGCGTTGCCAACAATGTGCCTTTCGTGTTCATTATAGATGACAACAAGTCTTCTAAGAGTATACAACAAATCTACTTCCGTTCACCTGGTTTCATACGCCAGCCGAAAAAACCGAAAACAAATACCAAAAATTAATATTTACAAAGAGAATTTGAACAAATTGTAAAAGCAATTGAAAATGTATTAACTGTGAACTGTTAAATGTATTGTATTGATTTGATTGCCTAGTCTAATGGGAGAGGTCGTGTCTGCCCTTCAGTATGCGCCGCATTAATACTCGTCTGCCTTCTGGTGTTGACATTCGCGCGTCCCATCCGTGGACGTTGATGCGCTTTACTTCGCGCGGCTTTGGGAAATGGCAGCGCACTTTCGGCTTCAGCACGGCGCGATCAAAGGCATGTTTCTGGCGCACAAACAATGTTTGGGCTGTGTTCAGTGCCGACACACAAGTTCTGCAAGTGCATTGACAATTAAGGTTTCACATATTAATAGGTATTTATTTATATATTTACCTCTGCAGCAAACCTTGCAACATGTTAAGTAAGTTATGCGACTGTGGTGTGACCGTACTCGATAATTGATACAAATAGTATTGGAAAGCGTACACATGCCGTATACAATCGACTCTATCGATAAAGTTATCACTGTGTGCATTTTCGTATTAGTTGCCTGCGGTCACATCGTCATTCAAGTGCCGTCGTTTGCTCCAACAATAAAACGCTTTGGAGCCGTGTGTTTTGTATGTTGTTATACTAGAAAAAGTGAAAAGCTCGCTCGCAAACCATGTTAAGACTTGAACGCATTTTAATCAATTAACGCGCCGCCTTAGTAAATATATGGTGGCTTTTAATTGTAGAGTCACAGTTCAAAGTTGTCAGTGAAAAACCCTACATACCATTCATCATATTTATATAGGTGCGTGTGTACATATGTATGTGTGTGAGTGCGCGTATGCAAGTGCAGCTGCCGTGTGCAAGTAAATTTTCGCGTGTGTGTGTGCGTACGTGCATGTTGGAAACGCAATTTTGGCAGCAGATTCTTCAGCAGCTACAACATCAGCATCATTAGAACACAAAATTTAAGTGCATTTTATACATGAATGATCGCAAAACTTAAATAGAATACTGTGTGCAGCGTGCCAGCAGAGGTAAGTTTATTTTTACTCTAACTGCAACTGTGTGAGTGTGTGCATGTGTATGTGTTTGTTTCTGCACGCTAATTAGCCTAATAAGTAAGATATATAAGGAAGATAAAGACAGACACAGCATTCGCCTAGCCAAATCTACAAAACGAAAATCGATTTTCCTGAACTTGCCATTTTCTATGCCTCACTGACTCCATGGAGCTGCCATAAGCAGCAGCATCAGCCCCAACGGCCGCAGCGGCAGCCGGCGATGCCAACGCCGGCGGCGCTGTCAACGTTCAAAATGCGGCATGGAACGCGTCTGGCAACGCGCCCCAAAATGCGGGCCAACCTCATAAAGTATACATAAATTGAATTTCGAAACACGGAAGCGACGAGCGCTGAGCGAGATGCGAGATGAAAGGGGCCACAACAAGCTGACTTCTTCTTCTTCTTCTGCTTGTTGTTGTTGTTCTTACTGTCTGCTGCTGCTGATGCAAAGCATGTATGTCTGCGTGTGCTTAGTTCTTGTCCATCAGCAATTGGTGTATAAAAAAGAAAAGCTCGACCTGTTTTCATTTAACAGATTTTTGCAATCAGCAATGCTTCGGGAGCTGTCACAGCAGTCCTTTTTGGAAGCCAACAGCCCAAGCCCCGCCCCCTTTCTCGTCACTCACTCACGCACACAAACACATACTTAATGTTTGCGTGAGAGTGTGTGTGTGTGTTTTGATGACGGCACTCAGCCAAAAAGACGCCGACGCCAGCTGCGACTGCGACTGCGACAGCGACGCACCCGCACTGATTTTTCACCGTGTGCGTATGTGCGTGTGTGTTTACACCAATACACGCACAAAGCATTAGCAATTCTTGCTTTTTTTTTGGCGGATGCTGTGTGCGTGGCCAAAAAAAGGGGGTTGTCCCTTTTCCTCTTGCGCACCCTGTCCCGCAATGTCTGGTCCATTATTTGTCTTTCCTTCCCTTGCACAGGGTGTGTGTGAGAGTGTGTGTGTGTGTGTGTGTGTGGGGCAACAAAAATTACTTTTACGAGCATTTAGCATAGGTTGTGTTTTCCTACTCTCATTTCTTGACAACCCGCCGGCTCTTCCGCTCTCCCCCTCTCACAGTCTCATCGTCGTTTAGTCGTATTTGATGCGTTTTTAATCAGACTGCGGCAATTTACTGCTCGCTAATGGTGAGGGCGTCACTTGACATGCTTGCTGCTCGCCTGGTTCTTCAGCACCGTCTCTCTCACTCTCCGACTTTGTCTCTGTCTCTCTTGTTCTTTTAGTCTGCCTGCAGGCTTGTCATCTGCACGCATTTCAATTCCATTTTCGATTCCGTCACCAGCTGCGTTTTATATAATTACAATTATAGTTTGCCATTGTTTGACCATCGATATACCCTACACTTTCATTCGCTTGCTTTGTCCTCTTCTTCTTCTTCTTTTATCACACATATGCACGCATGCCATATGCCCCGCAGCGTTCGAATATTCGATGTATTTCTCTTGACTAACTTCCCTGTCCACCTTCCTCTCCCTCTTTCTATATTCCTCCCTGCATTCCTCTGTCTTTCTCTCTCTGGCATTTTGACCATACATATTTCAAATAAACAAGCCAGTGCAGACCTTTGCTTCACATACTCTAACTGCAGATGGGCTAATACAAATCTTTGATTGATATTTCTTTATATTTTAAAATTTATTATTATTATTATTTTTTTTGCATATATTCATTATATGTATAAATAAAATTGAAAAAATGTGTGTTTAAAAGCTCTTTCACATAAAATGTAAATTGAAATGAGATAAAATAGAACCTTGAAAGGTTTATCCAATCATGTGCCATTTCAATTTGATTTTCATTTAGGCAAAACTAAAAATTTTGAGGATGACGCACAAAGTGAATTAGAAATAATAACATCAAGTTAACTTTAGAGATGAATCACAAATCACAACAGATAATTGTTTTCAAGTTAAGCCCAAAAATTGTTCTAATGTCACTTTGCTTACCCTCTATAAAAGTAAATCTTTTATGAGACTAACATTCTTGACTCTTCTTTCCAAGCAGCTTAGTGTAGGGTATTAAAAGTTTCGGTTTAGCTTTTACTTTCAACAAATTTTGTTGTTTTACTTGTTTTCTGCTCCATGGGCTGTTGAAGTACAAAAATACATACGATTCTATTCGTATTATGGCAGCAGCTGTTGTTCGAACCGGCAACGCATTGCTGGAGCAGCAGCAACAACAGCAACAACAGCAACAGCGACAGCAACAACGACAACTGCTGTCGACTTCATCAACGCCTCCGAACGGCTGTTGTTTTTGTTGCTGTGCGTTGTGTGTTTGTTTTTAGCATTTGTTTGGTTTTTTCTGCTGTTTTTTGTTTTTGGAAAAGTACATACAATTTTGAAAATAAAAAAGCGACAACAGCAACAGCAACAGCAACTCCAACAACAACATCAGTTGTCATCCATTATGCATGCAAGCGAATGGCTCGCGCAGCGGATCGCCGAGAGTTTTGCGATTGTGGCGACTGCCAACGTTGCAACTTGCTTGCCGGCACACGCTGCACCCGCAGCAGACAGCGCACACACACACACACTCACGCCTTGGCCAAAATGGCGACCCTGCACACACACACACACATACACAACTTCAAACTGCTCAGTTGTTGGCCCCACGCAAAAAAAATATTTTTGTTGTGACTTGGCAAAAGATTCGCTTCACATCGCTTCGTCTCGTCTCGCCTCGCATCGCATCGCAAGGGAATGGAGCAATGGCCCCAGTGGTTCCAGTGACTCCACTGGCTCCGGTGACGGCTCTCAGGTTGCATATCGCGTTGCCGGCGACACTCTGCCACGTGATTACTAATCAACTTAGCACATTAATCAAAGCCCCCACGAAGACCCCCAGCGATCGATAGACAGTGTGTGCCCAAAAATATTGTCATTTCAATTAGATTTAAATTTCGATAATCTATTTTATGTTGCGCCTCACAGACTAGAGAGTGTACACAAGAGATAGCCAGAATGTTATGTCATAGGAGACTAGTTTATGTGAAATATATGCACAATATATATACAAGGTAGTTTATAGTTTGTAATGAATTCCAAGCACCTAGTGACAGAGTTTGTGATAGTTTGGTTGTTAGTTATTCCAGTATGTTATATAAATATGTTATGAAAATCACATGGAAAGGTGATATCTTAAGGTGAGATAAAGAGAGAGGGAGAGAGAGAGGGAGAGAGAGAGAGAGAGAGGGGCAAGATAGCAGACAGAAATATAGTGAATGTGGGAAAAAGGGTTGAGAAAGACAGCGATATATAGAAAGGGACAGATGAAGAGAGTAAGATAGAAGGGAAGGTTAGTTAGAAGAAAAGGAAAAATCAGATATAAAGAAAAATAATAGAAGAGATATAGGGATTGATAGAAACAAAGAAGAGAGGATGAGAAGAGGTAAAACTGCTAAACGAAGCAGAAGTTTAGAAAGATTTTTAAAGCGAAAAATACTAAATAATAGGTAGAAGAAATATGAGAAATTAGGGAAGGCGAATTTAAAAAGCCAATGCAAGACTTCTAGACACAGACAGTTTCTATTCATTTGCTTAAGCTAATTATTGAGTGTAGGAAATGATCTATTCGTTTACTCCTACTGGCTCGATCAGTCACACCAATTTGTTGCAATCTTGGTTGTTGTTATTGTCAACGTTGTTGTTATTGTTGTATCTGAATTTTGTCTTAATTTGAAATCAAATTGAGCCCAAATTGGATGGGCAGCCAGTGGGCGTGTCATTTGATTGCAAGTCATGCCAAATTAACAACTTTCTTTGTTGTTGCTGTTGTTGTCGTTGCTGTTGTTGTTGTTGCTGTCAACAACATCAGAGTCAACGTCATCGTCATAGTCCAATTACAGTCAATTAAACTCGATCATCAAATTATTTTGATATGGGTGCACGTTAAGAGCGCTGCATCTTTGGCTCGACGGCTGAATTCGATTTTTGGGTGTTGCCTCAGCGCTCTGTGGGTTAATGTGTCTGTCTGCCT